GGATTTGAACTCAGGTCCTCCTTACTTCAGGGCCAGTGCTCTATCCACTGTGCCACCTAGCTGCCCCCTTAAGTTCTTTTGATGAGCATTTCTACTGCACAGCACATTGCTGCTCTAGGCAGAGCATACTTCTGCTTCTCGATACCACCACCACCTCTGCAGAAGAGGAGTTAAGGTTGTGTTTTGTTGCTTATTGCCACAGAAGGGTGTATTCCTCCTTAATAAGAATGAACATAACATATATAGCTTTAGAAGTCTTGATGATTAAGATGATGAATGATCACAACATAGAGATTTACTTAATGTGGTCATGCAAGGTAGGCATTCAGAAGTGTCCCTATTATCTGAATATACTTTGATTGAAGGTATAGACCAAAAGAGGTGAATAATTTCATCTTAACCTTTTCCATCACTTTTTGATTCCCTCTTTTCTCATACTAAGACCCTTGCTTGATTGTGATGAAAAAATTGAGATTAATTTAAAGTTTTAAGAATTGCTTCATGCTTCAAGAATTAATAAGTGTGATGAATAATATGTCTCCTTTTCAAAAAACATTTTAACGTAATAACCAATTGCACTAATTTCTTTCTTTTTTAGCGTTGCAATAATTTCAACTCCTGTCATTGTAATACTCACTACTCACCTCCAGATTGCAAGAAAATGGTTTTCTTGGCAGGGGGAAGTTATGAAGATGGGCACTTAGCAAAGCCTGGTTAGTATCTAAAATACATTTCTGTGAATCAGATGTTTATATGTAGTGGTGTAACTTAAAGTTCTGGTATATAAAACCAAAATGTTTACATTATGCCAATGCCCTGTTGTCATGAACTCTGAATATCTGAGGGACTAGTGGGAGGCAGAAAAGAGACTTTAAAGTTCAAACCCCAGGTTGACTGATTGATAGCTTTGTCACCTTGGAAAAATCACTTCACCTTCTTTTCCTCATCTTTAAATAGGGATAACACCTACACTGTTTTCCTTAAAGGATTGCTGTGAGTGAACATCAAATGAGATACTATCTAAAAACACTTTGTAAATCATAATACGTTATATAAATAACATCAGATATCCTAAGCAATTCTGTGAGATTATAAATGGTAAAAAAAGGTGCCGATCTGCAGGGTAGAGGGAATATTCTCATAATTGTAGTCCCTTAGATGAATGAAGTCATAGGCCCATTCGCTATTTTTATATTAAGATCAAAAGTCCTACTTATATGCCTTCTTGTGGTAGGGGCTTATGTTACATTCTTAAAGGGTATCACAGCAAAACACAAGTTCTGGTGCATGCTACTACAACTTGTAAGAGCACAGAGGCTATCCAATTGTGTTAGCCATCTCAGACAGATAGAGGACCAATTGACTTAAGTAGAGGAAGGTTCATAGACAGCTAGGTGGCTCAACAGAAAAAGTGCTACTCCTGGACACAGGAAGACCTGAGTTCAAATCCAGCCTCAGACAATTACTAGCTGTGTGATGCTTGCCAAGTCCCTCAATCCCTGGTTGCTAAAAAGGCCCCTTCTGGATAACTGCCTTGTAGCTGAGGGGTTTGCATAGGTCAGTGAAACTACGAGTTATGCCATGCAGGGTTAAAACAGACAGGTCCTGGTAGAGAGCTCTGACCAAAAAAAAAAAATGGTGATCCACTGGGGAAGGAAATGGCAAACCACTTTGCTAAGAAAACTCCATGGAAAAAATGAAGAGTCAGACATGACTGAACCACAACAGAGAAAGGCTAATTAACAGAATATTGATCACTAGGTGATGAACTTTTAGATCATGGAGACCTATGAAGCAGATTAAAAAGAGAGAACAACTTAGTCCTATGATCTCTCCCCCTCATTCTATTTACACGATGGTGAGAGAGTTGGGGAGGGGAGAGGGGATAGAAGATACTAAGAATCAGAGCATTCTCATTCTACCTACAAACATTAAATCAACAGTTGTTATTCCTAAAGTATAATATTTGTTCAACATCAATGAGTTTTTACATTACTAGAGAAATCGAAACATCCATATTGACATCTTAGGATAATAGTATCACCAGAAAAAAAGATTACAGTGAAGTGAAAGAATGACTTACAAGTTCTTCTTGGGGAGATGAATACAGAAGTTGGTAGAGTAGGTTTCATCATATACCAAAAGACAAGAAACATTGTCCCATGGAAGACTGTTGCATACTCAAGATGGGTATAAGCAAATAGACCACTCTTAAAATAATTGCCTCTTATGCACCAATATGCATTCTAAAGAAATTCTATAAAAAATTTGACAAGAATATAAATAAAATGTAAACTCCTTGAGGGAAGGGACTGTCTTTTCATTTTTTGTATTTCCAGTGCTTAAGCACTACCTTACATACAATATGTATTTATTGAATTGAGCTGAACATCCCTCGAACTGTTGATATTTACTTTGATATTTGGCAACCTTAAGATGGACATAGAGAGGACAGCAAAAACTATTCTGGAAATACAGTATAGGATCAAGAAATGGAATATTCCAAAGGTTTGTAGTTTACTTAGAAGCCATATACATTATGAATATTTCCTTCATGAAGAGCATCAAGTTGTTGAATGTGGTGAATCAGTCAACAATTATTTATAGATTGCTCATTGTGTTCGATAAACTATACTAGGGACTGGAAGAAAGGCAAAAACACCATCCCTGTCCCCAAAGACCTCACATTCTAAAGTGGGAAGATCACATGACAATATCTATCTTCATATAAGAGTAATTAGAAGGACATTTCAGAGGGCAGCCTCTAGCAATGGTGGTAGAGGAACCTCTTTAGAAGATAGGATTTTGTCTGAGTCTTGGAAGAGTCCAGGGAGTACGGGGGGCAAAGGCAAGGAGGAAGACCATTCTAGGGATGGGGATAGTCAGTGAAAAGGCACAGATTCTAAACATGTTGTCTTTGTGCCTTGAATAATAAGGCGGCCTGTGTCAGCAGATTGCAGAGTACTTTGAGGGGAGTAAAGTGAAAGAAGACTGGACAGTTAGGAAGGGTACAGGTTGTGAAGGATGTTCAATACCAAACAGAGCATTTTATATTTGAATTTAATGTGTAGTGGGGGTGACATGGTCAGATCTGTTCTTTAGGAAAATCACTTTGATGACTGAGAGGAGAATAGTTTAGAGTGGGTAGAGACGTGAGGCAGGGAGACCAACAAGAAGGATGTTTCAATAGTCCAGGTATGAGGTGATGAAAGCCTGCATCAGGAATATAACTGAAGTACATGAAAAAATAAAAATGAGAAGATACAGCCCACAATAAAACATACCTAATTTGACTGATTTAAACAAATGACCAGTGTCAAAAAGTGGGAACTAAATAAAAAGATTGATGTGAACTATCACCATTTCTTATGGAAGTGTAAATGATTTAAGGAATCCAAAATGATGAGGAAGCCAAAAGAGCTTAGATATATTCATAGGCAGTCAGTTATCCAATAAGTATTTATTAAGTCATTACTCTGTGTCAGATACTGTGCTAAGGGGTGAGGATATAAAGAAAGGCAAAAACTATTTCCACCTTCAAGGAGCTCACATTCTAATAGGGAAGATTACACGCACATAACCATGTCTTTTCTTTAGGCTGTTCCCTACAGGCAATTTCTGCCACTGCTTTGTAGTGTCTGCCCTGTGGTTTCCTCTTTTCCATTTTTCTGTGTCCCAGAACAGGTTTTTGAACACTATTCTTTCCTGTTTTCCTCCTGCTAATCTGATTACTACTTCTCTGTCTCCTTTGCTGTACCCTCTTCTAGATCACGCTTTCTCATCATAGGCATCTCTCAAGGTTCAGTCTATATCATCTTCTCTCTTCTCCTTCACACTTGGTTATCTCGTTAGCTACCATGGATTTAATTACCACCTTTATGTTGATGATCCTGAAATCTACCTATGCTGTCCCAATCTCTCTACTGACCTCAAACTGCCTTTTAGATATCTTGAACTAGATGTCCAATAGATATCTTAAATTCAACATATATAAAACAGAAATCATTACCTTTCCCCCTACACCCTCTCCCACTCCTATCTTCCCTGTTACTGTAGAGGGCAATACCATTCTCCTTGTCCATCAGGCTCCCAACATAGGAGTCATCCTGGATTATTCACTGTCTCTCATCCATCATATCCGAGATGGTGCCAAGGCCTGTCAATTTCCTCTTGAACATCTCTTGAATACACCTCTTCTCTCTGATCCTGCCACTACTCTAGTGCAGGACAGCCTCACCTCATGCCTTGATTACTGCAATAGCCTGGAGTGGGTCTGCATGCCTCAAATCCAGTCTATTCTCAATTCAACCACTAATGTGATTTTCTTAAAATGGAAGTTTGATCATGTAACACTCCTCCTCTACCCCCCAATAAACTCCAGGGTCTCCCTATTGCCTCCAGGTACAAATGTAAAATGCTGTGTTCCTAGCATTCAAAGCCCCTCATAGCCTAGCCCCCTCCCACCTTTCTAGTCTTCTTATATCATGCTCCCTGACCTGCTCTTTGATCCAGTGACACTGGCCTCCTGGCTGTTCCACGAATAAGATACTGCATCTCTTGGCTGTGGTCATTTTCTCTGGCAGTACCCAGGTTTGAAAAGCTCTCTCTTCTCTGCTCTGTTGACCTCCCTGCCTTTCTTTAAGTCCCAAGTAAAATCCCACCTGCTACAGGAAGCCTTGCTACAGGAAGCCTTCCCTAATCCTTTTTATTTCCTCTGTAAATTATTTTTCCCTCTGTAAATTATTTCTTATTTAGCTTGCTTTGTATATATGTTTTTATGTTCTCTCCCTTATTAGATTACAAGCTCCTTGAGGGTAAGAACTGTCTTTTGTCTCTTTTGTATCCCTAACACTTAGCATAGTGGCTGGCACATAGTACGTACTTAATGTGTACTGAACAATGTTAATTATTGCAAATGTCAGAGAGGACACTACCTCATGATAGGCCACCTCCGTCTGATTGTGCAGTCCACTACTAATCTGTGTCCTCTGATTACTCACCTTTTTCTCCATTTGCCTCAAAAATCTCTTCTCCCTCTGCCAGTTGCCCCTATGAGTTCCGATATTCTCCCTAGGTAAGACAAGTAGACTTTTTAAGCACCAAATCCCTCAAGCCTCATCCAGTGCAAAGTCCCCATCTCCCTTCACAGACCATCTCTTCTTGACCTTAGAAATATTCGTCAGTGGAACTACCTCCCACCACTGAAGTGAGGCCTTCTCCCTTCCCCTGTTTTAGTCTTTCCCCTTTCCTCACCCTTCTCTTTCTGGGAACCACAGAGGTCACCTTCTGCTCATTGCTAGTCCTTGATTTGACCTGGACATATCATCCATTCTTCTGTGTCCTGGTCCTCTCCCTTGCCCCTTTCTTGCAGCTTCCCATGTTGCAATGCAGTCCCACAAAAAAAAAATTTGATTCATCTAAAAAGTAGTGTGTCACCAGGTTTGGTCTAGAATGTCCCCTGCTTGGGGCAGCTAGGTGGCACAGTGGATTGAGCACCTGAAGTCAGGAGGACCTGAGTTCAAATCTGGCCTCAGACCAAATGACACTTACTAGCTGTGTGACCCTGGGCAAGTCACTTAACCCCAATTGCCTCCACCCATACAAAAAAAAGGAATGTCCCCTGCTTACCTCTTCATTTTACACCAGATTTCCATCTTCACCTCTGCCTCCTTGTGTACATTTCAAAAGAAGTCTCTTGCTGGTCTCACTGCTGTCACTCTGTAGCTGTTGCTGTCCTTGGTTGATGTATTTATTCACTCTTCCTTTTTTGTTGTCTGGTATTGAAGAAGGAAATAGTTTTTTTTTCACTTCTCGTTTTCTTTCTAAAAACTTTTAAATGCTTCTTTACTATTGAACATCCATTGTTTCTCATGTATGTTTAAGCTCAGATTTACAGGCTAAGTCACCCTTGGCTGCATCCTGAGCTCCACTGCACTTTCAGAGCACAGTTTTCTGGTAGGTGGAGAATGTTCTTGCATTGTTTGAATGTCCTTTCATTTGTAATTGAAAGTTTTTCTCCTAATTGCATGCAGACCTTGTTTCTCAATTGAATTGGCTTTTTTGCCATTGTTTTTTATTTTTTATTAATTTATTTTGATCTATCATCACTCACATAAGTTTTTGAGTTTTAGATTTTTCTCCCCCTCCCCTCCCCACTTCCCTCCCCAAGCCAGCACACAATCTGAAATAGGCTACACATATACATTTCTGTTGAATTCCTAAATTAAATTGCTAAACATATTTTCACATTAGTCATGTTGTAAGGAAGAATTAGAACCAATAGAATGAACCGCAGGAAAGAGGAAACAAAACAAAACAGAAGAAAAAAAGTGAATTGAATTGTTAAATTTAAATACTATGTGTTTTGGAGTCTGCAGTCTTGGCTTGTTTTCTGGAGATGATTTGTGAATTTTTTCATTTGGTATATGTTTAGAAGTTCTGGGCAGTTCTTTTCTATTATTTCCTTCATTATAGATTTAAGATTGTTTTTGTCCAGTCATGTTCTTCTAGGAGACCTATGATATTTAGGTTGTCTTAATCCTGCCTTGGAGATCAGTTTTGCTTGCATAGTGAGCATATTTTCTTTTAATGTTATTATTTTTCCTCTGTTACTCACTTTCTGATCCCCTTCCCCCCAGGCTGCAGTTTCCTTGGGGGATGGATCTCAAAGCCTGGCAGTTTATGATTCACTAGTTACTTTGGGTGGTCAGAACTGGTCTGGATGCTGTGCTCTTTCCCTCAAGGTTACTAGAGCACTGTATGGTCCTTCCCCTATTTTATTCCATTCCTCCTCATATATGCAATGGTATTGTGTCCTTGTCCTTCTGTTTCTTACCTCATTTCCCTGGTACTGGAAGTTTGGTGCTTTGTACCACTGGTGCTACTGGACTGTGCCCCCAGTAGGCTTTTGCTTTTGAAGCCTGTGGCCACACTGGTTGGCTGTCGTGACCAGGACAAATATCTGCAGCCTTCATCCAGGGGCTTCCTCATACTGGAAAGGAGAGGGAGGTGGCATGGTGTTGGGCTGGGTTTTATTGGAGGCCTGTGTCGTGTCCTTGTGTCTGCTAGTGCAGGATAAATGCTGGTTGCATGGGAGGTGGGGGAGGGTTACTGAGTGAACTCAGGGTCAGTGAGTATCAATTTACTTTTTAAATTTTTCCTTTATACTCTGGGTGTCCTAGACTATGGAGAGAGTTGAAGCTTTATCTTGGATGCATAATTTTTGTTTTGGAGAGGCCTGAGTGGTTGTGGGGATCATAAAAATTGTCTAGTCCTCCTTCTTGTTGCTCACGACTGGGAAGTATATCTAAATTATTATTTCTCTTTGTCAGATAAATGGATTTACTTGCTGTTCACTTTGTGATAGTCTTTTGTGTAAGTAATATTTTATGGGAAGGAGTTAAGCTTGCAAATCTAAACTTTGGGTACCTTTTTCCCTTTTAAAGGAAAGCAACCACAAAAGTAGCTTGAACCTTAAAAAACATTTCCATTGACCAGCAATATGTAGAAGGACGTAGAGACATAATTTTAGGCTTATACCTATAATATTTTAATTTTAGGCCTATACTTAGTGGTATGCTGGAACCAGCTCAAACTAATTCATAAGAGCTGATTGTCAAATTTTCAATGTGAATATTTACACTGTGGAAATAGGTAAATGCTACAAAGCAGAGCTTGAGTTAATAAAAAAAAGTTAATTTCAGAGAGGAGTTAGCAAGTTACCAGGGAAAAATCTCTTTTGGTTCTCCATGAGACACATTTAGACAACCCATATGGACTTACAAATAACCTAGATAGGCAACACATATATCCTACATGTTCATACACTACAGTACTAAGAATGATGTCACTGGCTTGTTGGGTCATGAACCACACTTTCCTATCAGAGGAACTTGCTGAGATGATTTTCTTCCATTTAATTATTTTCCTTCTAAATTTACGTGCATTGGTTTTGTTTCTGCGAAAATGTGTTCAATATTACACAATAAAAATTGTCCATTTTATCTTCTGTGATGTCTGTCTCCCCTGTCTGATCATTAACTCTTCCTCTATGCATACTTATGATGGGTATTTTCTTTGTGCTCCTCTAATTTTTTTTATGATGTCACCATTTGCATCTAAATTACATAACCATTTGGAACTTATTGTGGTATGAGATCTTAGTCTAAGCCTAATTTTCTCCATATGGCTGTTTGTCATTGCTAGGTTTAAAAAAAAATCAAATATTGAGTGTTTACCTTGAATTGAGATCTTTGGATTTATCTAAATATACTATGTTTATTTGTAATCTCTTCCACAGATTGACTTTTCTATTTTATAACAAGTTTGTTGTTGTTGGTTAGTTGTTTCAGCTGTGACCAACTCTTTGGGACCTCATTTGGGGTTTTCTTGGCCAAGATATTAGAGTGGTTTTCCATTTCCTTCTCCAGCTCATTTTACAGATAAGGAAACTGAGGCAAAAACGGTTTAAGTGATTTATTTGTCCAGGATCACACAACTAATAAGTGTTTGAGGCCAAATTTGAACTCAGGTCTTCCCAACTCCAGGCCTAGAGTGCAAGCCACTGTGCCACTTAGCTGCCCTTTGTACCAAGTAGTCAAAATTTTGATGGTTATTGCTTTGTAGAATAGTTTGAGATGTGGCACTGCTATGGCCCCTTCTTTCCCATTTTGAAAACTATTATCCTTGAGATTCTTAACATTTTGTTCCTCCAGCTGAATGTTGATATCATTTTTTGTAGCTCTCTAAAGTAGTTTAGTAGTTTGATTAGTATAGAACTAAATAAATTAATTTAGGTAGCATTGCTATTTTTATATTTCAACTGGCCCAGCCCAAAGCGATTAATATCTTCACTTATTTTGGTCTGTTATTATTTCTGTCAGTAGTGCTTTTTGTAATTGTATCCTTATAGTTACTGTGTGTGTCTTGATAGATTGAGCATTTTATGCATCCCATAGTTTTTTAAATGGAATTTCATTTTCTGTCTCTTCCTGCTAAATGTTGTTGGTAACATGTAGAAATGCTAATAATTTATAAGAATTTATTTTATATACTGCTGTTATTGAAGTCATAATAATCTGCAAAAAGCAGTAATTTTATTTCTTTGCCTATCCTTATTCCTCAATTCTTTGTTCTTGAATTACTGCAAGATCTGGCATTTTTTAGCACTATGTTAATAATAATGATGATAATTGACATCCTTGATTTACTCCTTGATTTATTGATATGATCATATTTGGTCACCTTTGGTTTTTAGTTATTTACAATGATAAAGGAGTGTCTTGCTTACTTATATGATTTTTAGTGCTTTTTAAATGGAAACACATGTTGTACTTTGTTAATAGTTTTTTCTTCATCTATTGACATACTCATGTGTTTGATTTTTTTAAATTAACATCATTGATTTTATTAATAGTTTTCTTAATATTGAACAAACATTGAAGTTTTGGTATAAATCCTACCTGGCCCCATATACAGTTGTTTTTTGGGTTTTTTTTTTTGATGTGTTGTAGCTTCTTATATTTTAAAAAATTTTGTGTTTACATTTCTTTGGAATATTATTCTATAGTGTTCTTTCTTTGATTTATCTCTGGTTTCAAATCAAAATCATATTTGCATCAAGTGGGAATTTAATAGGATCTTTTCTTTTCCTACTTTTTGCATATGATTTATTTAGTGTAATTAATTTTTCTTTGTGAGTTGGATAGAAATCACATCTATATTCATCTGGTCTTGGGGCTTATTTGAGAGTTAATTTATAGCTTGTTCAGTTTCTTTTTTTTTTGATGTTGAACTATTTAAATTATTTATTTCTTGTTCTGTTAATCTGGGCATTTTATATTTTTGCAGATATTCATTTTACTTAAATTATCTATTTTAGCATATATTAGGCAAAATATTTACTAACAATTTCTTTTATTTCATCTTAATTTGGTGTGATTTCTCTTTTTCATATAATTAATCTTTCTTGTGTTTAAAAAATTAGACTAGGTAATGATTTATCTGTTTATTTTTTTAAACAGCTCATTTATTTTATCAATTCAGCGTATTTTTGCTTAGTTTTGTTAATCTTTTATTTTAAGAATTTGTATTTTATTGTTTATTTTTTAGATAGTATTTTATTTTTTCCTTAATTACATATTAAGAACATTTTTTAGCATTCATTTTTTTTTTTTTTGCTTTTAGGCAATTGGGGTTAAGTAACTTGCCCAGGGTCACACAGCTAGTAAGGGTCAAGTGTTTGGTCTGAGGCCGGATTTGAACTCAGGTCCTCATGACTTCAGGGCTGGTGCTCTACCCACTGCACCACCTAGCTGCCCCTAGCATTCATTTTTATAAGATTTTGAGTTTCAAATTTTTTTCTCTTCCTCCCTCCCTCCCCTTCCTTCTTCCTAAAATGGTAGGTAGATATAGTTTATACATGTGCTGCCATGTAAAACTTATTTCCATATTTGTCACAGTTGTGGAAAAAGAAATAGATCAAAAGGGAATAAAACCATGAGAAGAATTAAGTAAGTGAAAAAAAATATGCTTTGACCTTCATTCTGAGTCCATTAGTTCTTTATCTGGAGGTGGAGCATTTTTCTTTGTGAGTCCTTTGTACTTGTCTTGGATCATTGTGTTGCTGAGAAGAACTGAGTCATTCATAATTGATCTTCCCAAGATGTTGCTGATACTGTGTACAATGTTTTCCTGGTTCTGCTCATTTCATTTTGAATCAGTTTGTACAAATCTTTCCAAGTTTTTCTGAAATCTGCCTGTTTATCATTTCTTATTGCACACTAATATTCCATTACATTCATATACCACAGCTTGTTCTGCCTTTCCCCAATTGATGGGCACCCCCTCAGTTTCCAATATTTTGCCACAAATAGGGCTGCTATAAATATTTTTGTACAAGTGGGTCCTTCAGAATAATGTTTTTAAATAATTGAAGAAAATGCTGAATTTTAGTTAGAAATTAATGAAAATAAAGATGCAATCCCTCTATCCCTCCCCCTGCCCTATCTAAGTCCATAGAC